CACTGGTTGGAGCTTATATAAACCTCGGGTAACTTCAGGGCCTTCCTCAACGGCGCCAAAACCTCCTTCCTCAGCCGGTCCCTCACTCTGTATGCGTAGTGTTCATCCTCAATCGTTTGATATTCCGTGTACAATTCTTTGGGGAAAACCTTACTCGTAATGCTTTCACACAACAATATGGTGCAGTCGTAGGGGGAGTTGAGGGAAGGGCACTACTTGGTCGCTAGAGTGAAGTGAGGATTCTTTTTATAGGACTTCAAATTTTCAATATTGTGCTTCAAACACTGAGTGAAAACATCCGAAACTCGCTCGTGTAAAAACCAGTAATCTGGATTACTTTGGTATCTTTCAAAAACCTTCTTGGTCTGGAAGATGAACCTCTCATTCCTCAAAGCGCTAGCTTTTGCCTTTTCCAATTTTCCCCTCTCCAAATCCTTCATCACTCGAACCTCTGTAAGCTCCATGTCGGCTCCTTTGTTTTCCAGCTTCACCTCTTTTACCCTGTTTAGGACCTGTATCATCAGATTCATAGCTGTAAGAGATATGCTTGCTGACTTTTATTTATTTATTTATTATTATTATTTTTTATTTCTGTAACTACTTGGCCTTTGGCTTCGTCTTTAAAGAAGCCGATTTGGGCGACAAATGCGGCGTTGCACGCTAGGGTTTTGGGGTAGTTCTGGTGGAGACAAAACGCCGCCTTGTAGAACCCTTCCTTGTCAGATTTTCCAGTGCCACTGACACCCCGAAGGTTGCAGATGAGCTTGAGGACGGTTAGGGCATCGTGTGACCAGGCCAACATGAGTTGTTGGTTCACATAAGAGGCAGAAGTGTTGGGTACAATGTGGAAGAAGAAATCAAGGCAAGGGTTACCGGAGGACAAGAAAGTGGGGGAGTTGTTCTCTGTCAAGCCCATTAGGGGTCTCTACCGCGTCGGTTGAATCGTAGTACGGTTGAAATTGGCAACCATGAGGTCGGTGAAGCGATCGCTGGAAGCGGGCTGTTGGGGATGAGGTGGTGGTGTCAGGAGTCTGATCTCCGGGGGACCGAGAAGAGTAGTATGAGCCATTCCTGCAAGGGTCTGTGAAAGGTTGACATTTTGGATTTGGTATGCTTTGAGAACTGAGAGTGTTTGCCTTGGTTCCATGGTTGAATTAAGGCTTAATTCCTGCTACGGGGGATTCTAATTTCTATGTTACACCTCTTTAATAGGTAGAAGTTTGATTACTTGGGCAACAAGGATTCTTTTAAATATCATACATTTCTTCCTTCTATTTTAAATCTTCAATAAGTCCCTAATTACAAAACAAAAAAATCTGAAAGAGAAGACATTTATTTAGGATGATAATTGATAAAATCGTTTTAAATTCAAAAATTTTAAATGAAAAGATAAATAGAGTATGTTATTCATCCAGTCATCCACTCATCCATCAAACCTAGGAGAAATCCTTTCGAAAAATAAAAAATAAACAATGCAAACATAAGAAATATTCAGTTTAAAAGAACAACCCAATAACAATTCACGTATTGAAAATTACCCTGCCACGTCGCTACCTCCCCTCCTATTGAAAAACTATTGGGCTAGCGTGAGTGCATACCAAGAGATTAGTATGCATAAAGTTACATTCATCGAATTTAAGATATTTCTCTTACAAGTGAAGAAGAATATTACTAGATCGTAGTACTAAATGATCTTTTATATGCTTTTTCAACAAAAAAGAAATGTTAATGAGAGTGAGACTCCCAAAAGTGAGACTTTGTACTCTCCGTCATCTCATGTTTTTGGGACAATTTTCATGCCAATATTATAAAATATTGTGTAAAAAACATGAAGTGAGAGAGTACATAAAGTCTTACTTTGAGAGAATCTCCTTAACATTTCTCAATAAAATATCACTAAAAAAAATATAAAAGAGTTAAAATCCGATGCATATATGTACAAAACAAAGCTATGACCACCAAACCCCAAGTTGTCAAAGTTGAAAGTGATCTCCTACTCCAAGCCCACAGAAATTTTTTTTGTGTTAATTAGTGAATTGGTTTTCTCTTGAATCTTTTTAATTTATTTGTTTATTTTTAAAAATAGAATTTAATGTAATATTAGCTTCTCCATATAGGACGACGTGATATTTATTTCTATTTTGGATGATAAAATGTTTGAAACGCCAAATAAAAAATGCTGAGCAGAAGTATCTTATAAGATGGAAGTAATATTTCTAGATTAGAAGTTGTTCAATGAGACTGTGATCCAAACAAAAATACTTGAAGTCGCTTATTGCTTTATTATTGTAATACTCTTTGTTAACTAAATGAAATATCGTTTTTTTTATTAAAAAAAATACAAATAAGAACATTTCTTTACCTATAACCGGTTGTAGTTTTACTTTACGTGGTGCAGGTTGCTTAAGGGGACAAATCTCTATTTTTTAGAACTAAGGAGATGATCTCTATTTTTTTATATAATAAATAAGGAAATTTCTTTACTTATACGAGTTGTAGTTCATTGATTATTTTTACAAATTATTAGCCAAATTAAAAATAGTTGAGACAATAAGTTGTGTTCAAAGAATTTTACGAACATAGTGATAAAAAAATATATTAGAACTTTATTATGAGATTCAAACGAGTAAATATTTTCAGGTTAAATTAATAATTTATGAATGAAAGGCTAAATATAAAAAATGCAACTTTTTTAAACATTTTCATACCACTTTTAGGAATTTTCGGGGTACATGGTATCCCGTCTGAAGCTGGTGTTCCCAACAAATAGAGGCTTGACACATATTTGTTTAGATTTTTAATTAAACAATTTTCAACTAACTTATTTTTATCAAGAATGCTAATATTCCCACCCAGTGTATTATTTCCCTACCCACCATTTAATAAAAAAGTTAATGACATATTTATCCTATTATAAAAATACTTTTAACCCCCTATTTAATTAATTACTACAATTTTGAAGGAAAAAAACATAATTTAAAATAATAAATAAATAATGGTGGATGGGGTGTGATATCTGTGGCGAAGAGAGCCTGGGAAAGATTTGGGCTACAATTGAGAGAAAGGTTGGAGGAAAGAATGAGTGTGTGCTAGACGAAGGTGAGAAACTTCAACGAAGGAGAGACTTGGTAGTGAGATATGTGGCCTTGACAGAACATGAGGAAGAAGAGTGATTTGGGATTCGAGGTCTCTGCAGAGAGGCGATAGTTGTGAGTACTAGGATTTGCGTAGATGATGAATATCCAAGTCATGCATTTTCTTTCATTTTTCCATTCTTATTTATTTATTAAATGTTATTTAAGATATATTAGAGTTATTTAAAACAAAATATACTAGGGTTATTTTGAAAATAATGGTGACAGGAAATAACATTTTACGTTTTTAACTTTTTATGATAGGTGAGATTATCATGTGAGTGGGAAAATAAGACATTGGGGTGAGTGTAGTACAATTATAATTCCTAATTTATCCCTAAGAGTGAAGCAAAATTTCGAAAAAACCACCCTACCCATGCCTAGAACTCACAGCAACCAACCACCCATTACGCGCTGCCATGAACTCACAGCACGACAACGACACACCTCCATCGATGGCGATAATTACACCAACGAGGAGAAAATGAAGACTAGTAAGGTAGGAGGAGATACACACTGCGCGCCGCCATGAACTCACGACAAGACATCCACCTCCACCTCCATGGATAGTGATAATTACACTTGCACCTAACAGTGAGGAGAAAACGAAGAATAGGAAGGTAAAAGGAGATAGAAAGAAAAAGGGAGAGGGGAAGGGATAGATGGGTGGGGGTGGGGTGGTGGTCGAAAACCCAGGACGAGAATCTGGATTCAGTTTTTTCAGTTAACTTTTTTGTTTATTTTTTATTTTGTTTCTGAAAATTTAGGGAATGTAAAGGGAAAATTGTTTGCAACGTGTTAAAAGAGAAAATTGTAACAATATTTCTTCAATTTTAAACCAATTCGAGTAATAGTCTATCAACTAAAAAACTATGATCATTAGTCTTTTAACTCATCAAAACATGCATCTATAGTTCTATTTGTTTTCGCCAAAATTTCGTCCAAATAAGTCATATTTAGGACCATTTCTATAATTGTGTTAAAGTTAACGGGTTATTGCTCCAATTGGGTTAAAGTTGATGAATCATTTCTTCAATTGGGATAAAGTTAAGAGATCATTGCTATAATTATTTTCATTTGATTTTTCATATTTGCCCATTGATTCATCTTCATGAGCATGACACGTGACTCATTTTGACGGAATTTCTAACAGAGTTGACGAAAAAGACCATAGCTGCATGTTTTGATGAGTTAAGGAATCAATGGTTACAAATTTTTAGTTGAATGACCATTATTCCAATTGAATTAAAGTTAAATGATCGTTGCTACAATTTCCTCTGTATCAAAAAGATGACAACATGTGAGAGATAGGACAAGTGTGACGTGCTCATTTGTAGGGTACATCAACTATCTAGAGTACCTGTACTTGGAAAAATTTCTCAAATTTTCATTGTGATCGGAACACGGAGGGTACGTCACGTATTTTTATATAAGAGGTGAGATATTTTATTTTTTAAGTTATTAAATTTTTAACATATATATCCCTCATTTTTATAACGACACGTGATGTGTACTGGTCACATTGAAGAAAAAAAAAATCAAATTTAAGAGGAATTATTTTCAACGTGTCAAAAAGATGGCAAACATGTGTAATATAGGCCAGGTGTCAGGTGCTCGTTTTATAGGGTACATCAAGTGTCTGGAGTTCCCGGTGTCTAGTAACACTACAAAATATCTACGGTTCAATTAAATGCCGTAAAGGCTTGTGTAGTGGCCCTACAATTAATCTATGGCGTAAATTTGACATTTCCCCGTTACCCTCCAAATTTCACGTCGGCATTAAATTTCACTAAACACTGTAGACTGTAGACATGGTGCGGCTTATGGTTTGCCACGTCATCTTGTAATGGCCAGAGAAAACAGGAGCCACGAATTGTATCTGAAGAAATCTACAAAGCGTAAGAATCTACAATAACAGAAGTCATTGCCTCATCCTCTTACCTCTCTCTCTCTCTCTCTCTCTCTCTCTCTCTCTCACTGTGCAAGTGCCAAGTTTGATTCCTTGATTTGAAGAAGGTATGTTTTCTTTGTATTTTTTTTATTTCTGGGTTTTTTCGGTGTTAAAAGTTAGTTTATAAGTATCTAATTTGGTGTTTTTCTTGTTTATTTTAAAGTTTGTTGGTTGCTTTTGAGTTGCGGAAGAAACAAATGGAGAAAAAACAAGTTGGGGAGCTTGTATCGGTGACGTTCACATGGAGGATTGAGAAATTCTCTAAGTTGAGATCCCAGAAGCATTACTCTGATGGTTTTAATGTCGGTGACTTTCGATGGTATGTTTCACTTTCTCCTCCAAATTTTACTCAATGACGTTCTTCGTTTTCTTGTTTCGTTTTTTGGTTTGACTTTTGTTATATATTTACTTCGGTTGTTTGATTCTTGTATGTATGTATTTCGGTTGTTTGATTCTTGTATATGTATTTTGGTTGTTTGATTCTTGTATACATGTACTTTGGTTGTTTGATTCTTGTATATATGTACTTTGGTCGTTTGATTCTTGTATATATGTACTTTGGTCGTTTGATTCTTGTATATATGTACTTTGGTTGTTTGATTCTTGTATACAAAAGCTCTGCCTGTTAATCGAGTAGGTGATTTTGGATTGCTTCTGGGATTTTGGGCCGTTTTACTCTCTTTCAAACTGTAGATTTTTCAACCATTTTTGCTCGTGCTAGTGCCCCCCAGAAATTCTTGGATTTCTTGCAATATGAGATTTAATGCCATGACTCTTATTTGTATTTTACTTTTTATTGGTGCGATGCAGAGGCACATAATAGACCAATATGAACATCATGAGCTGTCCCGTAATAAAACCGGTTGTTGCTGATACTTTCTTCTCGGTTCCTTCTTCTCCTTCTTCCATAACGCGAGCTCGGAGAAGGAAGAGATAAGAGGGCATATATGTACTTTGGTTGTTTGATTCTTGTAACGACACTGAGGTTTTTTGTGATAAAATCCTACTTGTTATGCTGATACGTGGTAAGATGCAAATAGGGGGATAGGACAGTGTACGTTTGATTAGTAGTTGGCCGATGACCCGTCTTTCTGAGATCTTGATATAAACACTTTTCTTATATTTACATGTTTAAATCATCAGGCAGATTGTCGTATATCCGAAGGGCAGCAGCGGAACCCCTGGAACGCACGACCTGTCGATATATTTGAATGTTGCAGATGCTTCGGCATTGCCATCTGGGTGGAGTAGATATGCCCAATTTACCTTGACCGTTGTCAATCAAGTCAACTATGATAAGTCAATAACAGTTGGTGAGTTATATGCCCTCACTTCATCTTGTTTATTTCACAATTAGGTTAGTGCTTTTCTATGTTGGTTTTGCTTTCATTCAAACTCTCACTTGCTCGAATAATATTATATTAGTTTAGAATGCTACTCAATCCTTGATTGCCTTGTCTGCACTTGTTATCCTTTTTGCAAGACTCCTTCGTACCAAACGATTGTCTATCGGCTTTAGGTCATGGCGTTGAACAGGGGACTCGCTGAAAAAAAGAAAGGAAATATGAAAGTTTGTTTCTCTTGTTTATTCTGGACATACAGCGTCCCACTGAGTTTCAGATATGGTGGAAATTAGTCTCTGGTAAATTGGGCGATTCCAAAAGGGATTTATGAGTTGTTAAGTATACAGTTCTCTAGGTAATGGGAGACGGCATGAAAGCCAAAACTCTTTGAGGTTGAAGGGTGATGGTCGTTTTTTGGGGGTTAGAAACGGTGAAACTAGAAGGATTTTTTAGGATTGTTCGGGGGCACGTGTCCTTGTGGGTAGAGTTAGTTTTACGTCTACTCTTTGGGCTTCGGTCAATGTAGAGTTCAGGGAGTTATCCATACCAATTACCAGCATGGTTACTGGACTGGAAAGTTGCAGCAAGTTGATTGATTGTGGTTTGAAGCTTGAATGTCTGGTCTTTCAATTTAACTTATAGTTTTGCTGCTGTAATTTGAAAGTGGACTGCTAAATTTGATGGTTTTCATAATAAGATTTTGGTTTCTTCTCGAAAAAGTGAAGACGAAGAAGATTGGTAACTTTTACTTTCCCATAGAAGGGAGATTTATTTAGTTGTTCAGAAAGCATGTCTACTTGTGTTGCCCAGACATACTAAACCATCCGAGAAGAGAATTACTGTTTACATGATTGTAATGTTGAGTTTCCATTGTTATTGTTCTTTAATTACCTATGAGCTATGCTTTTCTTATTATTATTGTTTTGAAAACCATCTTATTTTGATTTTACAGAAACTAAACATGTGTTCAGCGCAAGGAAAAGTGATTGGGGCTTCACATCATTCATGCCTCTAAGTGAGCTTTGTGATTTCTCCCAAGGGTTTCTTGTGAATGATACATGTGTTCTTGAAGCTGAGGTTGCTGTCAGTCAGGTTGACTATATGGCCGAAGTCAACGAAACTTGGTTTTGTCCGCCTATAAAGCCCTCAGACCATGAAGATGAAAGGCAAGGGCATACAGATGTGGATGCCGTACAACTTACAGCGCCTACTTCTGAACAGATACTTGCTTTTCAGGATGCATCAAGTTCTGAACAAAAGCAAACAAATGATTTTGAGCAAGTTCTAATCTCTTCAGTAGCAGTTACTACACCTAGTTCTGCTCAAGTGCTGGCCTTGTGGGATGGACCAAGTGATGGACAAGTTTGGACTGGGGGTAACAATAGCCTTGTTGGATCTCCGATATGCAAGAAACATGAGCAAAAACCCTCTGCCCCAGTTGGCGAGCTCATGGATTTCAGGGGTTTAGGGCAAATAGACAAAGCTTTTGTTCCATTTCTAGAGGAAGTCTGTTTGTTGCATCCTTCATTGATCAAGTGCCAAAGGAAGAGAAGTCCTATGTTTACTGCGTGGGCATTCACAGCTTTGGGTAGACTCCTGTATTTTCTAAAGACTACCAAGGGTACCGATATGAATGAGGATGCTTGTGAGCACCTTCGACTTTCATGGGAGGAGCTTGAGTCCTTCAGATTTGACTTGGCTTGGTTGGAGCCTCACATTCAGTCCGCTTTGGGTATGAAGAAGTTTGTGGAAAGGGAACTAGAGGTAAAAGGGCTGAGAAATAATGTGGATTCTTTGGAGATTGAAGTCAAGAGGTTGAAGGCTAGGCTAAATGTGGCAGAGTTAGATTTTGAGGATGCGAAAAGAGACATGGGAGAGGCCGAAGAAATCTTTGTTGAAATAAATATGGATAGCGAGCTTGGTTATGGTGGGAGGCAATAGCCGTACTCCTTCTCCCTTCAATAATGTATATGTCTTTGCCAATACTAGGTTTAATTTGGTCCTCGTTCGTTGCTTATACATATATATCGAGACTCGAAAATATGATTATTATTTTAGTCTTATATTGACATGGTTAGTAAATAAAAAAAAAAAAACCGCACGATTCATATAAAAATAATTTAAAAGTTCAGATAAAGAAAAACAAAACTCATCATCTATCTATTTGTAAGCTTGGAGGTGTTTTTTGTTATCTTTTCTCAATACAAAATAAATTGGTTTTTACGTGTTTTTAAATTATTGAGTTTGAACTTTGAAAAGGTTTCCTGAGTATAATTTTATTGAAATTTTATGTGCGAAAACGAATAATTTTTATTATCCTGAAGTTAGGGCGTGTTTTTGGCATCACCTGGAGCCTTAAAACTCTTAGGACTGGCCTTGAGTGTAAATAATATCGTATGTATTTAATAAAAACTTGGCTATGTTGTATGTTTTTTTTTTTTTTTTTTTTTTGAGCAAACGATACAATATTATTGTATGTTGGATGTTGAAATTCCACATTGGTCGTGTCTTTGAGAAAAGAAGTGTTTAAATCTCCTAACCCTATTCCAACTAATATCAAGGTTTTTTGTGATAAAATTTCGTACTTAACGGATTATGCAGGTGGTAGTTATCAAGTTGTGGACAATATCGATAGAAGTGAGTCTTTGACCCGTCTCTTTGATAATTCTGTACTTGGTAACAAGGCTGAGGAGTTGGCCCGTATGTACTGCCACGTGATGATGTTGGGCCCCTTGGCCCTGGGTGTTGGGTAAGTCCCCTTGGCTCCATGTGATTATCGATGCGAGGATCTCCCACGTGTGACCTACTAATTGAATCCCACGTGAGGGGGCGTGTTGAAATCCTACATCGGTCATGTCTTTGAGAAAAGAAATGTTTAAATATCTTAACTTCACTCCAACTAATACTGAGGCATTTTGTGATAAAATCCTACTCCTGACAAATTATGCAGGTAGTAAATATCAAGTTGAGGACAATATCAGTGTTGTTGGAAGTGAACCTTTAACCCGTTTCTCTCATAATTCTACTTTGGATATTTAATTTGAGACAGGCTCTAAAATTCCAATGTAACTTTAATGCTACAGATGTTTTAGTTGTTAAATTTGATTTTTGTAATTATTTAGATCTTGCCATTCATTATTGTATCAATTAGTATTGAATAAATTTTCATATTCAGTCAGAAATGAAAGAAAGAAAAGAAATGGCTCTCAATCAGGGCAAATAGGAAGAAAACACTAAAATGATGTCATAGATTTCAGCAGAAAACTGACGGCAATAAACTGATGAACTCCTAGTGTAACAGGCTAGTTAGATTAGATGGTGATTGATCACCCCAAACATTAATCCCTATATTTCAAGGAGTTGGATATCTGAAGAAAGTTTACTTAAAATAGTTAATCCCTATATTTGAAGGGTCTGAAAATCATGAGCTTGCCTCACTAACCTAAACATAATAAATAAATAAAGCCCATTGACTGGTTCGAAAACAAAATTTCACTCTTCATATACAAGAGAGTTAATGTGTTGGTAGCTTAAAATGGCACTAACCATTCATATAGGACCACTCAACAATATTTTTCATAATCTAAACCGATTATTTTTTAAGTATGGTTGAATGATCATCTTAAAAAACAATTCACTAAATCAAAAATCATTTAGTTATCAACATGTTATTTGATAAATAGACGAACAAGATGTTGTCGGTAAACAATAAAATCTTAAACAATAAAATCTTCACAATAATTCTAAACCATTTCCGATTTGAGTACATTTTGACAAAGATAATCTATGAATAATGACATGAAAAATGAATAGTTAAGGTTATGAGATTAATTTGTGCAGCACACTCAAACTAGTGGTTAGCATCATATTAAATTACTAATTAATAAACACCCAAGCAATAGTAGATAAACCAATTGCATGTCGACTAACAAAACCAGGATCAGCCTTGTCTCCATCAAAGTTTAGTTTGACCATCTGTATCGCCGAAGTTATCCATTTGATGATAGGGATATGCTTTTGTATAGGTCTCACATTGGTCATCCTGTTAGCATTGAAATAGTCCTTACCCACCAAAGCACAGCAATCATCATTAGGATCTTAGCTGGGTGGTAGGGTTTGTAATTCCGGAACAGCATGCCATAACTTTTTGCTCCATTTAAAAATTGGGTTTAACCAATAGCGCCATGCCTTCATGTATACCTCCGGCACTAGGAAGACATAATGCGGTCAGGAATCTTCTCTGAATCATTTCCTCCTAATCCTAGGGGTTTATCAATTCGGATCATTGAAATTTAATCCAACGGTTAAAATTATTATAACTTTTAAAGTAAGCTCTTGTTTATAACAGTTGAATCAAATTTAATGGCCTGAATTGGTGGATTCCTAAGATTAGGAGAAAGAGATGCCTTTCCCATTAGCATTACTCTAAACAAAAAATAGAACGTAAAGTCCATCTCAATATGACGTTTAAATTTTATTTAATTTGTTTACTAAAAGCTGAGGAGAGCTGAGGAGAGCATCCTACCCATTTGAATATAATACTGTGAATATCTTGACAGCCATGCCACAACTAGTTCATATTATATACACACACACACACACACACAGTATAAAGACACACTATAAAGAACAAGTTTCAGCTGTGTGATAATTTGGTGTTTTCTTGTTTAGTTTGTTGCTTTTGAGTTGCATAATAAAATGGAGAAAAAGCAAGTTGGGGAGCTTGTATCTGTAACCTTCACATGGAGGATTGAAAAATTCTCAAGGTTGAGACCCCAGAAGCATTACTCTGAGGGTTTCGCCGTCGGTGATTTTAAATGGTACGTATGTTTTAGTTTCTCCTCCGATTGAATCAATGACATTCTTCAGTTTCTTATTTCCCTATTTTTCGGTTTGAACAAAAATAAATAAATAAATAAATTACAACGAAGATCAACCACATGTCAAAGTTTAATCTAGAAATTACTGAACAAGAGGAATTACTAAACCAGATATGACAACCAAAAGTAGCAAAGCCATCATGTTCGCTTTCAGATAGATGCATGTGATAATAATATGAAAAATTTACTCGAGAAGATGCTAAATCATTTAGCCTAAATGTCTTTTTTTTTTTTTTTTTGTTTATCTCAGGCAGATGGTTGTATATCCGAAGGGAAGCAGTGGAAATCCCGGAAGGCAAGACCTGTCGATATATTTGAATGTCGCAGATGCTAGAATATTGTCATCTGGGTGGAGCAGATATGCCCAATTCACCTTGACCGTCGTCAATCAACTTGACAGTGACAAGTCCATAACATTTGGTAATTTATATACACTCCACACTCTTCATCTTGTTTATTTCACGTTTGTGCACTTGTTGGTGTTTCTGTCACTCAATATTTGATTGCATTCTATGCAGTTTTTATATTTCATTTTTCACAAGACTCCGTACCAAACAATTGTCTGTCGGCTCTAGGTTATGGCGTCGGTTGCAGTAGCAATTTTTCTATGACAGTAATGTTTTGTAATCCGCCGTTGTTTGATTGTACAGAAACTAAACATGTGTTCAGCGCAAGTAAAAGTGATTGGGGCTTCACATCATTCATGCCTCTAAGTGAGCTTTTTGATTGCACCGAAGGGTTTCTTGTGAACGATGCATGTGTTCTGGAAGCCGAGGTTGCTGTAAGTCAGGTTGACTACACGAGTGCTTCTGAAGTCCACGAAACTTGGTTTTTTACACCTAGAAAACCCTCAGAGAACGATAATGAAAGGCAAGGACATTCAAATGTGGATGCTGTGCAAATTCCACAGGTGCCTGCTTTTCAGGATTCACCAAGTTCTGAACAAAAGCAAACAAATGCTAATTCGTTGCAAGCTCCAAACTCTTCAAAAGCACTTACGAAATCCAGTTCTTGTCAAGTGCTTGCTTTCCAGGAAGAACCAAGCTCTGAACAATATTGCCCTGAGCCTAACGATAGCCCTGTTGAATCTCCTATAGTCAAGGAACATGAGCTAGCACGCTCTACCCCACTTGGTGAGCTCATGGATTTCCGGGGTTTACAGAAAATAGACAAAGATTATGTTCCATATCTAGAGGAAGTCTGTTTGTTGCATCCTTCATTGATCGAGTGCCAGAGGAAGAGAAGTCGTGTGTTTACTGAATGGGCATTCACAGCTTTGGGTAGACTCCTGCACTTTTTGAAGACTACAAGGGGTAAGGATATGATCGAGGATCCCTGTGAGGAGCACCTTCAACTTTTATGGGAGGAGCTCGGAACCTTCAAATTTGACTTGGCTTGGTTGGAGCCTCATGTTCAGTCTGCTTTGGGTATGAAGAAGTTTGTGGAAAGGGAACGACATGTAACGGAGCTGAGAAATAATGTGGATGCTTTGGATATTGAGATCAAGAGATTGAAGGCTTGGCTAACTGTTGCGGAGGTAGAATTTGTGGTTGCGAAAACAGACATGGGAGAGGCAGAAGAAAGCTTTGTTGCAATAAATATGGATAGTGAGCTCGGTTACGGCGGGAGGCACTAGCCGTCCTTGCAGAATTATCTCTTTTATATGAAAAAACACATGCAATCTATGTATTACAGGTCAAACTCCCTTGCATGTTAAGGATGAATGTGATCATGTTTCTTAACAATGGAGTGGGAAAGCCACACCATTTCAGTTTTTGTTCTGAATCAAACTCCTCTAGCTGAAGATCAGTAGCGATGATTCTGGGTTTTATTGTAGTAATTGTCGTTTCTTGTTTGTAGTACTTGCTAGGTTTATTGTAGCAGCTATTGTAGCTTAAACTATAATTAGGTCTGGTATTTTGTATAAAGCCTTAGTTAATTTGGCATTATGTCTTGTATTCTAGTTAGTTGCATCAGCTGTCTTGCATATGAGCTATAATTGTGCTATGATGTGCTATGATGTATAAAGCCTGATAGATAATCGTTTGTCATGTGGAATTGATAGTGTATGTGTCTATAATTGTGCTATGATGAGTTATTGTACATGTTTGATGTGTGATAATGAAAATGCACCATGTAGCAGTGTAGTTGCTCCCGAATCCCGCTTTTTCGTTTTGTACCAAGATTCTGCTGCATGGCAGAGCACATGGTTGCTGCGTTTGCTGCTATGGAGTAATCGTAGCTGTTTTTCGGAAAGTTTTGAGCCAATCAAGATTTGTTCAGTTTCTGTTCATATTTGTACTGGCCTTGGCAACCTCCAAAAGGGTTCTAGATGCGATCATCTTGACAACCTTTCCGACTTCATAGTCCAGCCAAATAACATAACGATTATTCCTCCATTTTCACTTACACTGGAAGCTGGGGAGTATTCGACGATGTTCCTAAAACCTTGAACGTAACAAAAACTGCTTTGACTGAATTGCCTGCGCTTAACGAACAAAGTGTGTCACACCTCCTAACCGTGGAGTAAACCCACCTCACACCCACCCTTGCTCCGCTGAACTTTTGTTCCCTGTTATTGGTTCTCTGCTATTGCTTCCCTGTTAAACACGAAGAACGTTCTATATACACAAAAGCTTGGAGTTGGAGGCATGTGTATGTGTGTTTCCCCAAGGGACTAGTCCATTATCAGTTTAACCCGGTAGCTGATTTACCAGCCTACGCTATTTTAGCATTCGGAAATGCAAATATACACAACAGTTTCTGTGCTGGTATCTGTGTTTACCACCGGAATAAATGAGACCGTTAAGAAGCTCAAGGCTGGCCTTGCCGCTCGAAAATGAGAGATTACACATTCTTTTTCGGGCTGTGGATTACTTGAAACAACAATCAAGGCTACGAAACCTTGTCATTACCAAATTTAATTATAACATATTAATAAATAGGTAGTATTCATTGTCCAAATAGAGAAGGAAATACAATCACAGTAAAAAATACATTTGTCAAATAGCAGCCGGATGGCACAGTGGATAAAAAGAATGACTGAGACAGAGACAAGGAGATGGCGAAAGGTTTAGGGGATTCGTAAATTAGATCAAAATGGCTGAAACATTGCCTTTGTCCATTTGTGTTATGCAACACTGACGAGCCTTAGCCTTCACCTCGTACCAGCTCTTTTTCTCTATGCATATTGAGGACGGGTTTGTGATGATATAAAGATGTCAATCGTACTTTTTAGGGGTGGGCACGGGCTGGGCCGGGCCCAAATTTGAAGGGACCAGACCGGACCTGCTTAAAAAGGAAATGGGACGGGTCAGGCCGAGTATTGCAAATCTGATCACTGGAACCGATCCTAACCCGGCCTGTTTCAAATGGGCTAGTTCGGGATGGGTCCACGGGTCTTCTTACTTTTTTTTTTTTCTTTTTTCTTTTCCTTGGTTTTGATTGCCTCCGCTCATCCTCCAGATCTTCTCCGACATCAAGACCCTCATGGGTTTTGTTATCTTCTTCTTTAGCTCTCCTGACGAGCTCGTTGGGATGGCGCCGGGGTCTTACTCCTCGGAGTTCTCTTCCAATGGCTACTGCTGTGAAGGAAGAGCAAAAAGACAAGCTCGCCAAGTCCATCAAGTACCAAGTTCGACAGAAGTAGGGTGAACTTTCAATTTCCATCTTTTTTTCTTCAAATCAATCACTCACAACACCAATTCAACAAAAAATTACATTATCTATATCTATAGCTAATATCTATATCTGTATAAATGTGATTGTAATTAAAGATCAAATGGAGTTAGATTCAACTCAAAACGCAAAACCCAGAAACAGATTTGAGAGTGGACGGAGTACAAGGGCTTCGGCGATGTGGTGGCGGGGCTGACGAGGCACATCTACACCATGTACTGGAATGTCCTCAAGAAATACCCAAACCAAGTGGAGATCCTGCAGCTGGAGGACTCAAGTAGTACCCGCCAACCGAGACCATCTTCATCCCAGACAAGGAGTGCCAGAAGCCAAACCTGCGATGTAAAATTTCACAAATTTTGTAATCAAAATTAAGAAATTGACAAAATTGGAAGAAATGAGGGAAATGAGTTACCTCGGTATCGAGATTGGAGGAGGAGACAGAGGAGTTGGTGGGGGAGGAGGGTGGTGGCAGCATATCATTTCTCGGTGGGGTGTGGGTGTGGGTGGGGTGTGTCTGTGCTCCGGGAAGGAGAGTTGCAGAGATGGGGGGAGAAACAAAGAAAAGGAATGAGGGAGAAGGTTCGAGAGATTGGATGAGGGGGAATCATAGGGAAGTGGGGTGTGTGTGTGGAGAGTTCTCGAGAGTGAGAACTGTCGCAAGGAGGAACAATAGGAAGAGGGCTTGGGAGACAGTACCCAACACGGGGGTATTCTTGCAAACGGGCCGGTCTGGGTACCCGTTTTTCTATACTTTTGGAACCGGCCCAAACCTAAAATTTCAAAGGCCCGCCCCACCCCGTTTCTCTTTTTTTTAAATTAGGACCCGCCGCGTACTCGCCCCGAACCTCTAATACTCGCCCCTATCCACGGGCCCAGGACCCGTTTGCCCACCCCCTGTACTTTTGTCTTCCTTTTCTTTCACATTTTTCCCATCCTCACATGAAAGATCTCTTTTATCTTTTAGATCACTCCAAGCAGTTAACACTTTCACATTCCAACGTTACTCAACATTCACACTAAACACAATATGAACTCAATGTCGACCATCAAACCATATTATGGACCCAAAATTGTAGCTGCCAGTAGCCTTCTTGCCGTAAAATGACACTTGGAAAGACACCGTCTTCACACCCACAGAAAAAACCAACTTCTCCGGAAGTACTGTCACATCCCGACCCAGGCTCCACCACATTCAGGGCCCCACCTCCGTTGTAATACGATATTGTCCGCTTTGGGCTCCGACCACACCCTCACAGTTTTGTTTCCGGGAACTCACACGAGAACTTCCCAGTGGGTCACCTATCCTGGGATTGCTCTCGCCCGAACTCGCTTAACTTCGAAGTTCCAATGGAACCCGAAGCCAATGAGCTCCTAAAAGGCCTCGTGCTATATGGAGGTGAGTATGTACATGTAAGGCATAGAAGATCCACTCCCCTGGGCTATGTGGGATATAACAAGTACCTTGACCATTAATCCTACCGGAGCCTGCACCTTTGCAATGTACGTAGAATTCCGAGCTCCAACAATAGTCACGGTTCTTCTAACGGCCTTTACAGGTTGGCGCCGGCTGAGCTTACTAATGGAGATGGAGGGGTAGTTGATGTTAGAGATGAGTTGTTCAGTGGAGATTTTAGGGCAGTTGAACTTTGTGTTTGACATAAATCTTATATTCTTCTCTGGGTAGCCGTAATAGCAAGGGAATTCAAGATAGTTTTCTGTTGTGGTTTCGAAGACTGGTCCTGGGTTAAGGGCATTAAGTGGGTTTATTTCTCCGAGCCCCACCTCGTGTGGATTTGCAAAGTGGTTAGAGCTGTTTGTCAAAGGCTTTTTCATGTTGTTGTAAATGGTTGCTAAAACAAGAAAAAATGTCGATATAAGTATCTCCTATGTGCAGGCACCTTCAAGTGAAAATAAACTCAAACAAGTATAATCTAGATAAGGAAATCATGTAATTCTCATGCTATAAGTATCTTCCTAAATATTTTGCATTGAAATCAAATGAAAGGATTGATGCACACAATATCATTAACATAGAATGGCTGCACAAGATGTCGAAAAGTCTAAAGAATACCTGTAGTCATAGGGGCTGATTTGATCATGGAAGTAGTCCATCGACGATGCGCTGACTTGATGAATGTAGCAGCCCCCGTTATGTGTGGACAAGCCTTTGATGGCTTCTTCCCATTTCGGACTGTCCCTTTTTCATTCTTGGGAGCTATGGCCGCTAAAATGGCCACTCCGGGAGCCATTATATCAGGCTGAATACATAAGAAACGCGAAAAGTACTACAGTTAGTTTTGCAAACAACTGATACATTATCGAACTAAACCTGGTAAATGTACGGGTAGTACATTTTTTGTGGGTGCTATCTGATTTGTGACAATGATATCGACACGGCATGTAAAGCCTTTATTATCCGATTTCATCGGAGCTGTACACTTGCTTCAGAGTGAGAAGATTTAGTGCCAATCCAACTAAATATGGTTTCCGACTTTATAAATGTTTGGAGAAATGTAAAATTGGGAATGTACTCAAATTAAATACGTACGGATATATCTAATGTTAAGGTGCAGGTGAATTTCAAAAAAACAAATAAAAAAAACAAAGAAGTGTCAGCTAAAGAAAGAGAATGTTTTCTGTAAGCTGTGCAGGACCCCTCGATGAAAAAAATGCATTAGCCGGTGCAGGACTACCACTGTTGGGAGAATCGTTGCTGTTGGGTTTCTGTTATGTTAAGGAATAGAAAATTCATTATGCCCAACATAAAAAGAGTGATCGTAACTGATGCGTATTAAAATTGTCGTAATAGAAGCTCAGATTCAATGTCCATATCCTTTAGCTAGGAATCACATTATCACATAGGTCTGACCAGAATATATCAGATATTCAGCAGCATAATCTTCGTCAATTACGACTAAGGTACGGTTTGAACTCGTTGAATTCCTTGTGTCGAAACTATGGATTATAATTCATTTCTTGCATTTTGGTAAAGGTTTGACGTTGAAACACCTCGGGGAATATTTCCTAGCTTTTTGGAAAAGTAGAACCATGGCTGTCAAGC